AATATGAATATCCAAGGTATTATCCTAAACTAGCATACAAAACTATCAATATAACAAGATAGAATACATACCTCTTTGATGGTGCTTGTCTTCATGAAGCTTGAGTGCCTAGTGCCCCAAGTGTGACACCTCAAATGGTTCACAATCATCAAAACACTTAGAATAACTTAGAGAGAATTCTACACTTCATGAAATCGGCTAGCCCTTTCTTAGTCTCACTAGTGGCTGATTTTCCTCAAGAATAAGATGCTTATATAGTTATACAATTAGGGTAAACCCTAATTGTCATGACTTTCCATTTCCTTGGATCCATGGGTTCAAATACACCATGGAGCATCCATGGAGCATCATATGGGTTTTGGCCCAACTAGATAATCCATGGAGCATTAGCCCACTATACAAGTAATGATGACTTACACAATCAACCCATATATTTAATTAGTCTTCTTTTGATCACTCAATTAATGCTAGATTAATTCTTGATCAATACTAATTAAATAATCTCATTATTCTTATTATTAATATACTAGAACTTATAATATATTAATAACCATAAGTGTCTTATTTCTCTCATTTAGTCTATCCAAGTGCATGATGGTATGCAACCCAAATGGACCATGCCGGGTCGGGTCAAGTCTTACCAATTATAGTTATGGACTTAGACATTAATCCAAAAGCATGTACACTTAGGAGTGTTAGAATACCCTTAGGCCGTAAACTCCTTTAAACTATGTAAAATGAGCATTTAACCCCTAATTAGCCTTATACCTTCACCTAGAAACACATAGGAGTGAACAAATGACCTCAAAATCGAAGTATAAAGGGTTTCCAAGAGTGCACTACCGTAAACCTGTTGGGTTATGAGCATTCTAACACTCCTAAGTGTAGATGCAACCCTAAATACCTTGGATCTATATTTTCTCTATTATACATGCAAATATGAACATCCAAGGTATTATCCTAATCTAGCATGTAAAACAAGGGATATAACAAGATAGAATACATACCTTTTTCATGTAGAAAGTCTTCATGAAACTTGAGTGCCTAGTGCCCCAAGTGTGACACCTTAAATGGTTTACACAACACCAATTACACTTGGAATAACTTGAGAGAATTCTACACTTCATGAAATCAGCTAACCCTCTCTAGAATGATACTACTGGCCGATTTTTGTCAAGAATAAGATCTTTATATAGTGTTACAATTAGGGTAAACCCTAATTTTCATGACTTTCCATTTCCTTGGATCCATGGGTTCAAATACACCATGGAACATCCATGGAGCATCATATGGGTTTTGGCCCAACTAGATAATCCATGGAGTATTGGCCCACTATACAAGTATGGATCATTTACACAATCAACCCATATATTTAATTAGTCTTCTTTTGATCAATTAATTAATCCTAGATTAATTCTTGATCAATACTAATTAAATAATCTTATTATTCTTATTATTAATATACAAGAACATATAATATATTAATAACCATAAGTGTCTTATTTCTCTCATTATAGTCTTATCCAAATGCATGATGCCATGCAACCCAAATGGACCATGCCGGGTCGGGTCAAGTCTTACCAATTATAGTTATGGACTTAGACATTAATCCAACAAAACCGTGGGGTTCACGACCGTAAAATCCCAAGGAGTGGTCCTAGGACCGCAAACTCCTAGGGAGTGCCCCTTTGGAACCTTAAACACCCCTCAAGCCTTGTATATTGCCTTGGAATCCCTTCTAGAGACACAAGAGACTTGAAAACACACAAATACACTCCTCCCATGAGTTTACGGTCTTAAACTCATGGGGGACGTGGTCCCTCAGCCGTAAACTCACCTAAGGAGAGTTTGTGAGGAGTAAACTCCATAGTGAGGCCTAAAACTCCTTCCTTGCAACCACCAATTGCTTTCTAACACTTAACCATAGAGCTTTTATTCGCATTAGGATGTATATATGTGTTTAATTAGTGTCTAAATCACTAATTACTTGTAAACTTATGTCTTCATATATATTACTAGGGTCATAAAGTGTGTACAAGTCTTTACTTGGCACCAAACGCTCAACCGACACTTCCACCCGATCTACTTGCTTCAGTTTAGTTCATACCCCTTAATTAACCTTTTTAAATGTTTTTCCATGTTTTAGGGGGGGATACAATTAAATGCAACAAGTTCTAGGTCCTAATCATACATGATTTATAACTTACCACCAAAAAGGATTTTTCTATACTTTATTCTATTTGTCAATAAAATTGTTGTAAATATTCATCAAACGCATTTTCTAAACTAAATTGTTGTTAAAATATTTTTATAAAATTTTATTTAAACTACTTTTCTTTTAAACTATATCGACATCAATATATTTATATAAATAAGATTTGAAGGGCTTAGGACCGATAACTCATCTTATTTCCTATTCTTGTTTGATTTGTGGTCTTAGGGTATATTGTTATACGTCCGACTGTCGTTGATTTCTTAGTTATATATCGTATATATTGTGTTAGATATGAAAGTCTTCATCTTATATAATACCTTTGTAAATTAAACGCATGCGACTCTACATTCTATATAACTATAATAGGTATAGTTAATACTACTGCCTGTTACCTCTATCACTATGATACCCGCTATATTTACTACTATCACGAGTAAAGACACATTTAGGAGAACACTCTCTTTACTATACTAAAAGTTACTAAATTATAATACAAGAGAATACACTAATCCAGAATATAACACACTATCCCTCTATACGACACTCTACTACGTAAATACCATGTAACCAGGGCTTCCCGAAAGCAAAGCAGCACTAGATGTATAGATCTATACAGGACGGATGCTATTACATCCCGACTGTGAATTACAGTCCAAGCCGACTAGGCCTAGGGATGGTACTACATCACTACACTATGGATGATCAGGAAGGTCATCGGACCCTCTACAATCACTCAGTTTGGTTACATGAGAAATCATATCCATATCCAAATTAACTCACTGATAATTAAAGTCTAAGCTAATTCCTGAAGTAAATAAATATATATATTGTAGTTTGCAACACTACTACAATTAACCAACAATACTTTTACTCATCTACATTACTTCTATGAAATTTATTACCTTATTTTTAACACTGAAAGTTTCAATGAAAATACTTTTACACACTCAAAGGATTTAACTTGCAAATATACCATCCTGGAAAATATACGATTTTCTAGGGATTTCTACTACTCTCAACATTTATTTCAGCTTTTATATTACCTGATTGTAAAAACTTTTATACAAGAAATGACACTAAAATCTTATGAACTCACCAGCTATATGCTGATACTCGTTTTCAAAATAACTAGTATCCTCATGTCAAAGATAGACAGGTACTGGTGCATCTTTTGAGAAGATGGAGCATATACAAGACCCAACTTTTAGTTTTGTTATACGTTTGGTGTCTATTAACTGTACAAAACACGTTTGTATTTAAAATCACTATATTAATGCAATGGTTGTTGTTGCTTGTTTTTACTATTATGCAATTGTTATGATATTGTACATGACGTCCTCCACCCCAGAACGCATTCCGCCGTTCTTTGTTTTGGGGTGTGGCACATTTTCATGGCCAGAAAAGACCGATTGTTTTTATGCTTTATAAAAATCAGAGTACCTATTTTTATAAAAATGTTGCCGAATTTGTTCCCAGTAAAACATGATAAATACGTTATCAAAGCACCTCCGAAGAAAAGTATTTTTATTCATTTTAAAACATTTAGGATGTCATCGTCAATACAGAAACATAAGAATAAACAGAACTTACATTCATTATCACTAGTGATTTATATCTCCTTAATCTCTCAGTATAATATGACTTCATATCAACACCTATGATATAAATAAAATGAGTGGATCAGGTTGGGAAACCTGGTGAGTACATAGAGATTTCAATCCCACAATGTTATACCATATATATAGTTTGAAACTCACAAAATATACAATTTCACCATATATATAAACAACTCTTAACTCTCCCCATTGATCCTCACAACGAGGCTATCCATACTCTCGGACCTAAGATTAGCCATTTTATCTAATCCATACTCCCGGATCAGAAATGAACAACTTTACCTAATCCATACTCTCGGACTAGGGACGAATGACTAATCCATACTCTCGGATTAATGATGAATGATTATGCCTAATCCATACTCTCAGACTAGGGATAATGACTATGTCTAATCCATGCTCCCGGATCAATGACATATACTAAGATTTTATTCTCTGAGTATAATTGACTCCTTCTCGTAAGAAAACACTACCCAATATTTCTCATAATTAATTTAGGTTTGCTCTTTATCCTAACGGGGTGTTTGGATAAATATAATTTTAGCTTATTAGCTTATTGATTATTGCTTATTGTGGTGTGAATAAGCAGTTTTTTAAAAAGTGTTTGGATTACCTTACTGTGGTGGGAATAAGCAATAAGCAATAAGCATTTTTAAGTGTTTGGCAAACAAAACAACTTATATGAGTAAAATGATCAAAAAGGGCTTCCTTTTATATGTTAACATATTTATCTTATTAAAACAATTATTTTTATAAATAATAATAATAATAATTTTGTTATTCACAAGAACTAAAAAAAAAAAAGCAATTATCATGCTACAACATATTTTTTTTTATTAGAAGAAAACATTTTTTTAAAATAATAATAAAAAATTTCTTATTCATAAGAACTAAAAAAACAACTATCATGCTACTACATATTTTTCTTATTAAAACAAAACATTTTTTTTAAATAATAATAATAATTTTCTTATTCATAAGAACTAAAAAAACAATTATCATGCTACTACATATTTTTCTAATTAATACAAAAAAAAATTAAAATAATAATAATAATATTAGACCACAAATTTCATTCCAAATCCATATTATCCAAAATATTACACAAAATAGTTTCATGCTACTACATTAAACCATAAAATGAAAATACTACAAAGTTTCAAAACAAATTATATGCCATTACGTGCACGAGTGGTTGACCTTGAGAAAATCTGTCCCGCAATCATATCGCGTACTGCACACATATACATATCCTCAGTTCTACGTTGTGTACTTGATACTTCGTTATGTGGCTCAATACCATTATTGGGTCCTTCGTCATTGCGCGAAATATAAGATTCTTCTTCCGCTATTTGAAATGCTGCATCACCACTACCGCTCATTCTAATGTAATTGTGAATCGCCATTGAAGCTAGGACAATTTTAACTTGGGTCTCGAAGTCGAAATTTACATGCATATCTCTTAGTAACCCCCATCGAGCCTTCCAGACTCCAAAAGTTCGTTCAATTATATTGCGAAGTGACGAATGATAATAGTTAAATTTTTCTTTGAAGCCTTTTGGTTCCCGCGAGGCAGAAGTTTGTCCACGTCGAAAATACGGAATATGATAACGGATATTTGAACCTTTATACGGAGCAAGATAACCTTTTGTATTAGGATATCCAGTGTCTACAAGGTAATACTTACCTATACATTTACAAATAAAGCATATGATTGTTGTTCATTTATACCGTTTGAAAATATAAAACTTCTATTAATAAGTAATGATACTAACCATCCGCTAGAAGTGGAAACTTAACTTAACGTCTCCTTCGCGCTTCATTAAAAATTCTCGTATCATGTACAGTCCCCTTCCATCCGTAATATCCACAAGTTGTACATCATTGGGAGTGCTATTGTCGCCAAATTCACAAGGTACCTTGGCCCTGTCTCCAATAGCTACAGTATCTCGAAATAAAGCCTCATAATATGTCTGATATACATCCAAATTCTTATCCATAAACTTAGCAAACTCTTTATCTTCCTATATGTACAAATGTAGAATGTCATGAAAAACACAATACAAATAATATATTCTTAGACAAAAATTTTAATTTTTACCTTTATTTTATCATCCCACCTTTCCATTGATGCTGAGATTGTATTTTTCACGGGATCAATTGAAATTCCCATTTCTAGTCTTGTTAAACGGTCGTAATATTTGAACTCTTTCCGCATTATGTCCCATTTGTTTTTCATTTGATTTCAGTCCAATTCTTTACCCGTTCGTTCCAAAAGCCTCTTACATATATTTTGGCACACGGGCGCTTTGAAATAAGTACTCGCTCTATTCCCGTTTTTTTAGCTCGGTCATACATTCCTCAAGAAATAGCTTTAATGTATGAGGATCCCAATTAAACCTATTTGTAACTTTCACTTTGGTTGTATCAAAATTCATATCATGAACATTGACACTGTCCATTACCTATATTAAATCATGATAAGGAATAAAAAAACCTCTTAAATTTTAACCTAGTATTGAATAAATATAGACAACGGAATTTATGAATACAAATAACAATCAATACCATCAATAATAGCAAAGAACAGCAACAATAATTGATGAAGAAACTCAAGAATAATCACAGGGGCATGGTGCATCACCGATTAAAAACAAAGAAAAAAAATAACCATGTTGCATCACCAATAAAAGAAAACAATCATGTTGCATCAAGAATGAAGAACAATCATTGGTTGCAGGGAAATATATCGTGAACAACATCAGTGATAAAAAAAATAAAAAAAAATAAAAATAAAGAATATCTGATTGCAGCGAACGATAGCAGCAGAGAAAAAAAAAGATCAACAACATAACTCATAGCTGATGGATTTCATAAAAAAAATAGCATCCTTGCAATAATGCAGGAACGATAGCAGCAAAGCAAAAAAAAAAAAGATCAAGAACATACCTGTCGATGGTTCCAAGACGATGGCCAAGGGAGAAAAGGTATCGGCAGCAACTACAGGTGAAGCAAATGATCGGTTTTGGAGGGTTTAAGGGGTTTTATGTATAGTTTATTGAAGGGTAAATCAGTAATTTTTGAATCATTAAAAATAAGCAATAAGCAATAAGCATTGCTCTCATAGCTTATTAAAATCAGCTTATTTTGCTTATTCCTACCACAATAAGCTGATTTTTTAAGCATCGTATCCAAACACTTAGATTAGCTTATTGTGGTGAGAATAAGCAATAAGCTAACAAGCAGTCATTTTTTCCCTATCCAAACACCCCCTTAATCAGCATATATAATAAGGTATCTTCTTTAACAAGTATCTCAGGCAATATCAAATAATTCACACATAAACATGTATTTAATACTTCAATCGATACCTGTATTAAAATCATGTTCATGAAAGGAACTATACACTCACTTGAAAAGGTGGTGATTCCGAACTCAGACAACGCTTCGCTTCTTAAAAGTAATTTGCTTCGACGAAACCTACTATTATTACCACTAAAGTTTACTCTAATATTTATCGAGACTAATTAATAGTCTAACTATTATAACTATTATATAAGCATTAAACAATACTTATATAACCCATAATAATAGCCCAAGTACTTATTATAAGTTCCTAATAATGCTACTATAATTAAATAAAAACTATATTAAAAATACAATAGGCGTAGCTCACTTACAACATATTTTATAGAAAACCGAGCTTTGCTTGGAGCAGCGTTCCTGATGCAAAAAGCTCTTCTTCTCGGTGCCGTCGAGCACTCCGGGGCTTCCGCCTCGTGCAAGGGAGGTTTCCTAGGCTTTTCGGGGGGTTTCGGGGCTAGAGAGAGGTTCTAGAGAGAAAGAGAGAGAGAGAGAGAGAGAGAGAGAGAGAGAGAGAGTAAAGAGAAAAAAGAATGAGAAAGGTGTGAAGAAAATGAGAGTGGGAGAGGTTCTATTTATAGGGTGAAAATGGCTGAACTTGGTGTCACATGTCACCATCTAGTGGAAAGACTTGGGGAGAAAGCAATCGCCATGATTGTGCTACATCGCCCATTTTCTTACATCAAACTTCCGACTTCTAAAATCTGTAACTTTCACATACGACCTCCATTTTTGATGTTATTTATATCCACACGTAGGTAATAATAAGATCTACAACTTTCATTTTGACTCCGTCGGCTAATTCTCGACCGATCTTAAATTTAACAGTACGAGGAGATTATATGTTAAATGTCCGCGTAAAATTCATAACTTCTACATAGGGACTCTGTTTTCGTCTGTCTTTTTCCTGTTGAGTTCCTATTAATGAGATCTTGAATTATCATTTAATTTGCATCGTCCAAAAACCGCTCGAACCAAAATTCGAGTTTCAAGTCATGTACTGCTATGCCAAATCTTAGAAAATTCATAACTTCCTCATACGAAGTCAGATATGGGCGTTCTTTTTTTGTATGTACTCGGTTTAACATATAGTACAACTTTTATTTTGGATCGATAAGGCTAAAAAGTCCTTTACCGAAAATTCACTATTTACCTCTCCCGGTGTCGTGCCGGTTTTGCCGTAAAACTTCGACGGGCCATAACTTCTTCGTTATAACTCGGATTTTAGCGTTCTTTATATGTACGGAACCTTTGAGACATATTATAAAACTTGGTTAACATTATTTATTCTAAGTAATATTTTGTTGAAAAGTCGTTTTTGACCTGTATTATCTCTAAATTGACTAGCCCGGATCTACGGACGTTTCAATTATCTCCCTTTTAGGATGATTACGTTTCGGAATCATCAAAAAAATAGGCTCACATGATGACTGCATACGTTACCTCTTCATTCTAAGTAATAACAGTAACTTTGATGTTTCTTTGAACGAATATCTAACTCTTAGACTTCCTGATTGTAGGTAGTGCTCGATCTTGCACTTGCTCCCTATCTCACGTTAGACTCCAAATTATGACCTTCAAGTCACAATCTTCATCCTTACTAGAGACTGCTTCTTCTTCTTAACAAACTTAAGATAAGTTATTTTATTACTAAAATAGACCAATGTGTCATATTCTAATGACTTATCATCGTATGTTCCCACGCTTAGACTCAGGTCTCTTAGAGTCTTCCAGAACAGACTATTCTTTCGTTCATGTTCCAATCTCATCTTAAAAGATAGCATTTCTAGCTACAAGCAACTATCGCGATACCTCTACTAATCACTTTGATTGTTTTTCTCGTCAAGCTTTTAGCTTATGTCAGTTGCTACATCGGACTTGATTCTCTGAATTATTTATCATACTTATCATAGTCGAACTCAATTTGATATGACCACTAGGGTTCGTATAACAATCACCTTCTTAGTCATTACCGAAACGATGGTAACGATATTCTTGAATAAAACAGTACCAATTACTAGTTTCTTGGTAACCTTGTGACCTTCCCTGATCCAAGTGCGAGTTCTGTGCTTCCGGTAGTATAGGCCTTTACTACAGTTCACACCTACTCATACTCGTCCCAAGTATTATCTCAAAGTTTTCCCAAGTCACCATAAAATAACATCACATGATAGCTTAACACATTGGATGGAAAAATGAAGGTTTTTATATTATTCGTTGAAATGATTACATAGGTGTTCAAGTTCACACTAGACTACGCCTCTGATAGGCTACATCATACGATATTATGACTACTGCATAACTCGATCTTCAGATATTAAGTCCTCATCCTTGATTCCTCGCGTTGTCATCTGCTTCATCAAGGATCATCTGAAATGCTCTTGCCTTTGGTTTTGGCGGCATATTCGGATTTGTAGCTTCTTTTTTCCTTGGGCAGTCTTGCTTGAAGTGTCCCTCTTCACCACACTTAAACCAGACTTCTCTCTTAGTTGTGCATTCACTGGCGTAATGACTAGTCTTCCCGCATTTAAAGTAGGTCATCTCTTTAGAGCATTTCCCAATGTGCTTCTTTCTGCACTTGTCACACCATTGCGTTCCTTCTTCGAACTTCTTTGAACCAATATTCTAGAATTTCTCTTCTCGTCGGACCTTGAGGATCCTTCAAACTTTGTCTTCTTGCCTACCTCCATCTTGATGGCGGCTCTTCCCTTAATCATATCTTCAACAGACTTGGCTGCCCAGATAGCTGCCTCCAGAGTAGGTGCCTGACGTACTGGCACCGCATACTCCCATGGAAGTCCCTTTGCATACTTTTCAATTTTTGTCGGCTCGTCTGGGACAAGGCGCAAAGCAAACGCCATCTTGGATGTGAAGTTTTTGGTGTATTCATCAATGGTCAGGCTTCCTTTCTTCTAGGTTAGGAATTAGTTCTCCAGATCGAGCAGGTTTTGGGCTGAATAGTACTTACGTTTAAATTTTACCAAAAACTCTACCCATGTTAGTTGCATGGGTTTATTGGAGCTTAAAGTCTTCCCCAGGGTGTTCCACCAACGAACAGCAGCTCCCCATAAAGGATATACTAAACTATAAACCCATCTGGTTGCCTCTCAAGCAGAAGTCATGGAACTTCGAGCTCGTCAAAGGGCTCATGAGCCACACCTTGAAGAGGTGGTACGTCAAATGAGAGACCTCAGGGTTCTCCCGAGGAATACTCATCGCTGTTAGATGATGTCTAGTACCTCATTATCTTTTGGGTTAAGGATTAGCCTTTAACATCTATGCTCTAAGTAGCACTTATCTGTAAAATACTCCTAACTTTCAGTACTCTAATTAGGAATCTAAGAACTATCAAACTTTCCGTATGGTATGATGTAAGACCTACTGTTAGGTCAATTTTCATTGAACTCATTACATCAGTAATACCAATATTATTGACAACTACCTACTTTGTGGGAAGAATCTTTACATTTGGGTTTTCCTACACATCTTTCTGGTTATGATCTCAAACACTCATTCAATTGTTGGGCTATGGTTAGTTAGTCCATGTGTCATTCACACATTACTTACAAATTGATTCTTACCACTTTTCTCATCTTTCTCAACTTATAGCTGAATGATGCCTCCTCGCAAATCTACCCAGAATAACCCTACACCTACACCACCTCCACCACCTCCGGTTATCGATACAGTAGCCCAGAATGCTGTCGTAGCTGCAGCAGTGGCAACTGCCATGGTACAATATCACTCTACTGATGCCAGCATAGGTGGAACCCCGGTTAACTCCATTCCGGTTGAAACTCCTGTGAGCTCGAGAGAGTGCTCTTACAAGGATTTCACCATGGTTCGAGAAGACTGAATCAGTTGGTGGCCACGTTAAATCTCTAACTCTTGTCGTGGCCAACGACATAGGCTGGGATACGATGAAAGACCTCATGATTGAGGAAGATTGCCCTAGGGGCGAGATCAAGAAACTAGAGCAGGAGATTTGGAGCTTGACCATGAAGGGCACCAACATTATTG